TTGACAAACAGTGCCTGATAGCATAAACACATTAGATATGACACAAATAAGTAGAGAAACACATCTTCTTTGTCTTGATAGCCAAAAATTTGATATTGTGATATTTTAATTGAGGACTTATTTGTTATGTTAGCATTATTAAATGATTGGTTGATAAATTTCATAACCCCATTAAAGTCTTTAGAGCACTATTCACAATAACAAAATTAAGCTTAGTGGGTTTGATAGCAGGATGGCAACCGAGTTAGATAGTGAAGAACTCAAATTAGGTCCCAACAATGCACAATGGTCTGATGCAGAGGAGGAGACCTTCATTAATCTTATGGTGGACCAAATTAGGGAAAACAAAAGGCCTACATCTTCCTTTAACATGGAAGGGTGGAAGTACATACATCAGAAATTTAATGAGAAACATAACAAGAGTTATGTCCATGCTCATTTTAAAAACAAGTATAATGCACTTAGACAGCGTTGAAAGTTGTACTTAACGCTCCTTAACCACACAAGTGTGATTGTAGATCCATTGATGAAAAATCCTACCGCAAATGAAGAAGTCTGGCAAAGCTTAATGAAGGTAATTTGCCTTAAACCCACTCATTTACTTTTGATTTAGAATGGTATAAAACATAATCAATTTCTTATATAGTGCAGACTCATCATTGGGCACGATCATTTAAGACACAAGTTTATTGTCATTGGGATGAGTTAGAATACATTTTCGGAGGAACACAGGCAACCGGAGACATGGGATACTATCTTGAAATGGGTCTTGATGATCATGTCCCAATTTCAGATAGCCCACCACCACTTGTCAAGTTAGATGATCAAGGAACACTAGAAACTAGGGAATCTCTTGCTAATACATACACTATTGACCCCACCGATGATGTATTAGAAATGTCAGACCGTAAGAGGAGAGTTGGCAACCCACCCACTAGCATGAAGAAAGGGAAGAAATAATACCTTCCACCCGGACTTGATTTAATGATTAATTCATGGGAAGAGTCCAACAAGAAGAAACTTGAACTATTAGAAAAGGAAAGCTTACAGGATATCAATAAGCAGCAGGAAATGGAAATGGAGGAGATTACAGTACAAAAGGAAAGATTAATAGAATTAAAGAGGTCAAAGATTTGAGAAATAGAAAAGAAAAGAAATCTAAAAAGGGATAGACTTGACAAGGCTCATGAGAAGGAGGAAATAGAGGAATGCATTGAAATCTTTAATTCTAGATTTCAGGTTGAAAAATTATCTCCAACATGTTATTTCAGGGCAATCAAGTTGTTTATGGAAGAGAAATGGAGGAACACTTTCCTTGTTATGCCTACAAATGTTGAGTTTTTTGCTCTATGGAATGAACGAGGAGCCATCAAATCCATGATTTCTAAAAGACTTTTCCTTTCTTTTTGTGCTTGGTTGAACCTGAACACTTTTTGGAATGATGGTATTTTTTTATTTATTTTTTTCGGTAATGAGTAATGACCTCTAATGCTTATATGCACTCACATTTGGATTGGTGAAACTTTTTGTTACATGTTGGTATTTACATGATTATATGCTAGTTATGACCATGGTGTCTGATGTGCACTTTGATTTCACTAATTATAATGTTGTAGTTTTTCATACAACAATATTCTATGGATCCTCATCAATATCGACAAAAAAGGCATAGCATTGATTCAGATGATGATGATGAGAAAATGATAAACTTCATTATGACTTCTTACATACTACACTTGTATTGTCCACAAACAAGAAGGCAACATTGCATGACTTCTTCTTTGACTGGACATACTTATGTGTGGATAAAAGTCCTCAATGACTTAGAACACGCAGATAGATGCTACAAATCATTTAGGATGGAACATGTCTTCAAAAACCTGGCCTCCTTGCTTACGATGAGAGGAGTTTTGAATAACACTAGGAATACCACCATCAATGAATCACTTGCACTCTTCCTCCTCACAATTGGTCATAATGAGAGGAACCACATGATGGATGAGCGATTCCAGAATTCCTCATGGACCATTAATATACATGTATGAAAAATTGTGTATACAATTGGAAAAATAAGGAAGGAGCTCATAAGGCCACTTGCATTCACTAAAGTTCAACCATTTATTAAGAAATCTAAGAAATATTATCCAATGATCAATGTAACTACACTTCATAGTCTATAGTAACTCTCTCTACATTTGTTGTTCTAACTATGTTCATAATTGTGATTAGAAATGTATGGGGGTTATAGTAACTCTTACTTAAAAATGATGTATAGATAGTGCTAAGTGGAGGCTTTGTTGGCTTGATTAAAATCCTTTTCTTTTTGTTATAGAATTCTCTTCACTAAATTATCATCCTCTCACTTTATTTTTGTTGCATGTAATTTATATTAACAACAAGAGTTGCATACAGTTGGGTATAGACTGGTATAGGTTTTGCAGGCACTCAAAATTAACCTAACCTAACCCTAAATAAAATGGATCTCTTATAAGTTTTTCTTTTAAATCTAGCTATTAGGGTTTTAAGATCTATCTTCACTGCCCCAGTCCAATATTCAAATAATACATGTCTGATTTGCAAAACCATGGCAATGGCATAGAGCCCTAGGGCTAGGAAACATTAGCAACTTCTTAGTGATTTCCTCTTTTGAATTCATCTCTTATAGATCCAACCAACGAAATAGGTTGCTTACAAAGATACCTTGGTTTCCAGAATCTAATAGGGGGTTCCTTGATCTAATCTGGTCTTTTATCTCTTATTATAGATTTGATGGATTTTTGAAATGGACTATTTGTAGATATGACTGACTTTTTGTATAGAACGATTGATATATATATTTTAGAGGTTCATTCTCAGTTCAATGTTACCTATGCAAATGAGCAATTTTTCAAATGTCAATAAACTTAAGTAGATGAAGGCCTTGGTTGGTGAAATGCAAAGGAGACTTGGGGGTTGAATGACAATATTCAATGTGCTGCATGATCTAGGTTGCCCAGGTTTTATCTCCTCTACTAGGTTGTCCAGTAAATAAAGATTTTGGTAGACCCACTTTCACTCTGAGACGTATCATCCTTCCTCTACTAGGTTGCCAGGTTTTATCTCCTCATTTTCCTTTAACACTTCACCCGCAGTGCTTGCAAACAGCCTACAACAATGATTCGAAATGAATCTTCTAGGAATGTTCAGCATCTGTACCCACAGGCCACAGATTTTGGTGCCACATTTTCACTTTCTCCCCAGCTTTAGCATCTCACCACTACTCCACAAGCATCCATCTTGAGCATATGAACCATGGCCCACCATTAAGGGTGTCAATGGATAGGTTTTGGATTGGACCCCATCCAGTCCAAAATCAATTTGGACGGATTAGATGGACCTACAAGATATATTGGATTGGACTAATCCAGTTCAAAATATTTATTAGATTGGATTGGACCTGATCCGTTCATAACAAATTTATATTGGATTAAGTTAGATTAAACCAATATTTGGTCCATTAATATAAGATAAGAATATATGTGTCAATGGACTGGATTTGGATTAAAATCAATCTAAATCAAAATAAATTTGAATAGATTGAATGGTCGACATTGAATTGGACCAATCTAGCCTAGTTGATAAATTTTTTGGTAAAGAGATAAGCATTGGAGGGCTCATAAAGAAGACATAGGAAGTATGAAAGCCTTCTGCTAATATTATGATTCCTTGCATTTACGAATTGAGATGACTAGGTTTAAACTTGTTGGATTGAGTGGCCTTGAGCCCTCAATGTTTATAACAAATTATAGATGGACGAGGTTATAATTATAAATACATTACAATCAGTTTTATCTTAATAATTATTATTTATATTTTGAAATTTATAAATGGTGATCACCATTTTTTTAAACTAGATTTGAATCACTTGTTACAACTTACACAAATTAATATCATGTGGAATGGATTAATATCATCCAACACTCAGTTTGTTTGCAGTGTAAATTTAATTTGCAATGGTGTAAATGCTCGACAGTGTAAATAGGTTGAGTTCATATTCTGGTATACTTTTGTTTCGGATTTGGCTTTGCCTTATTTTTTTGTGATGAATAAAATATGAAGTAAAATGATAGGAATAGGGTTATTTGTTTGTGAATAAGGTATAAAACCAAGATGATGTAATTCTCACTTTAAATGAAAGAGAATGGAGGTAGGAGTACAGTTAGCTAGTTATTTGTATCAGATAGGAGTGCAATTCATGTTACCAAATGGAAGCAAAATTGACCCAGTGCAAATTTTGTTTCTGGTTCAGTTTTGCACTGCAAATAAACAGAACCTTGATTAGGAAAAATAAAACTCAGTTTGAATAGTTGAGAAAGAATTAGTAGAACCTCACTAAGTGACACGTCCCTTATAGGGATGTCAATTGGTCAGATCTTGGTAGAATTAGTCCTAAACTGATTATTAATCAGGATAAAATCATAAACCCATAACCATCCCAGTAAATAGTCGGGTTAATTGGGTCCAAACCCGATAGATCCAATTATACTAAAAGCTATATTTTTTATTTAAACAATAACTTAAAATTTAAACTTTGAACATTAATAAAATTGATTGAAAAATACTAACCTGAATTGATATGTTAATATATTAAACATTTTTAACTAATATTGTCATCTATAAAATTTATCATTTTAAACAGAAAATATGATAGAAATTATAAGAAAATCATGAAATCAGAAATGTTATAATTAGTTCGGTATATTTGGATCCATCGAGTAAGCCCGACCCATTGTCAGCCCTGGTCCCTCATTTTGATGGGCTGAGTGGTGAACATGAGAAGCATATCGTAGTTGCAGGGAGTTTACCCATTAGTGAGGCTTGCCATTCCCGATCGTAGATTCATCATTCATGTAAAGGGTACATATTCCCATCCGTACAGAGCAGTGAATTCGTGGGCCCTTGTGAGAATATTAGCCCATTCAGTCCAAAATGTAGTCAGAACTCAGAAGGATTCGATTCAGTAAAACAATTAAAATTCATATTCCCGTTTCAGCTTTTACACTACCATTACAACTTAGGTTACAAACTCTTGTACAAATCCCATCTTCTTGGGCTTATTATACTGAACAGAACTAAAAAGCTGGACAACAGAAAGCACTAGCTATTACATATCCAAAGTTGGTGAAATATTTCTCCCCTTAAGGAAGCTTTTGCAAATTTTCCCCCAAGCCATCCTGTCTGGTTCAGCAGTCTCCAGTACTGATTTTGTTTGTTCAGCGAACTCTCTCTGACATTAGTTAGCCCAGGCCTCAGGGTTAGATGACGAACGATGGAGAAAATCTTTGTTTCTTAATGAACTAATGAACTATAAGAAAAGCAATTGGTTACCTCTATAGAGTTGTTGTTCACCAGACGATCAATGAGATTGAATAGAATGTCCTTGGTGTATTCAGGATGACCCTGAATTCCCATTATGTGGTCTCCAAGGGCAAACATCTCTACACCTGTCTTGTCTGAGAAGGCAATCACTTCAGCTCCAAGAGGGACCTCCCATACCTGTTCCATTGATCATTCTATTGCTTAGTTACAGCAGTATAATTAGAGAGATAGAGAGATGATGTACCTCATCTTGATGACACTCAATTATGGAAAGAAAAGATGGGGTTTCATTCAAGTCAGCAACAAGGCTAGGTGGGAAGAAATCCTCCACCAGCCAGACTTTTCTCAACCCAATGTCCCAGCCACTATCAGCTCTTCCTGTCTTGCCACCCAACGCCCGGCACAACAGCTGAAAACAATTAATTTAATGTTAACAAAGAATCAACAAAACCTCAATAAAACCCTAATTTTTCTACATGATAGATAATTAGATGGAACATACTTGGTGCCCAAAACATATCCCAAGCACTTTCTTCTCCATGGCATCCAATACTTGTATCAAAAAGCAAAGCCTCAGGACCCATGGATCATTCCCATGAGCATCATAAGGACTACCACTGATGACAAAACCACTGTAATTCTGAAGCTGATCCATGTCAGGAAACTCTCCATCTACAACCCTAAACAAGTCCCACACCTCTCCTTCTTCCCCAAACGCATCAACAAACACATTGAAATACCCACCATACACTTTCTTCACATAATCAGAGTCCTTACATGCTAGAAATAAAGCATATCTCTTCTCTCCAATAACCTTCATTTCAGGGAAAGATGGTCTGCTAATGGATCAGAACACTATTTGCAGCACAAAGAATCACTTTTCAGAATGCAAGAATGGACCTAACTTGATTTCTTGGACCTAACAAAGATAAAAAGGAGTGATGGGTTGGAGCCTTTTTCAGTGGATTGGGAACCTTAAACAAGGGATCAACTGAGCTGAGTTTGACTATGCATTAAAGAAGAGATGGGTGAGGGTATTTATAGGCTTGTGAGAACTCCCATCAACCAACTGACCATAACGTATCAGTTAAGCTATTTATTTTCCCCTAGCCCAACTCTCATTGAGCCTTTTTATTCTTCTTCCCTTTCTGATTCATTAGATTCTGTATGTGTAATTAAATGGAATTGGAATATTAGGAAGAGTTTTTAGTTCGGAATCATTTTATAGAATCATCTTTGGCTTATTACTCAGTTGGTTAATCCAAAATGAGATGGTATCATGGACATGGACTCCAAGATGCATACATGAATCAGTTTTGGGCCCATATAGCTTTAAGTAAACCGGATATTAGGTAGATTGTGGCCCACAAATTAATAAGTGAACCAACAATCAGCTTCTCTGAACATTATTATCTGTTGATGGGGGGAGGATACTTGAATTCGAACCCGGTTCTTACTGTGCTGGATCCACTCAGATCCGCCTACCTACTTTGCACCCTATGTCATCGACTGCCTAAAAAGATTTCTAGAAAGCTGCCAAAAAAAAAATAAGGCTCAGTTTGCAAAGAGTACAATTAATGTAAATATGTACAATGCAAATACATACAAAATATAAGGTTTTGCATGGTTTTTGAACCACCGTTGACTCGGATAGTCAGACTATTTGGTCCGGGAACTGTCTAGGCAACCAGTTTCATTTTACTCCAAACCTAGTCTTTGGCCAAAAACTGTTAAAAAGTCAACAACCTATTGACCAGGCAGTCGAACTGTCGACCCGTTCAACAGTTATGGCCGTATTTTATTTTTTATTATTTTTCTTATTTTTTATTTTTTATTTTTTGTCAAAACAGGCCATCCATTAATTGGACTGTCGACCCAAAAAATGGTGGCCAAAATGGCTCCATTTCTAAGTCGTTTTTTAAAATGTTGAGGTTTTGCACTCTACATGTTTGCATTTGTACTCCTTCCATTTTGAGCATGGTACCCAACTAAACTTCTGGGTTCTGAATATGCAAAGAAAAAAGTCATATATATATTTCAAAATTTTAATGCAAATTTGGTACCAAAAGAATGTATTTCAATTTTTAATACAATATGATTAAAAAATGCAATGCCAAAATATATGATTTATTAAGAGCATGTTTAGTGTTGTGGGTTTTTATATCTTGAAAATCGTTTAAAATGGTATTGTATATTCACTTTTTATTAGGGTAAAATATAAAAAACCTTCCCTAAAGTGTCTAACGATAATAAAAACCTCTCTTATAGTTTCATTAACAAACACCTCCCCTGAACTTTTGAGAAACGCAACAAAACCCCCCTTCCGTCATCATCCCAGATGGAAAACGTTAGACTGATGCATCAGTTTGTTCCAAATACCCATTCTACCCTTTTGTAAATTATTTTACATACAAAATTAATAATCTCTTTTGTATATAAAATCATTTATAAAAGGGTAGAATGGATATTTGGAAAAAAACTGGTGCATCAGTTTAACGTTTTCCGTCTGAGATGGTGACAAAAGGGAGGTTTGTATCGAATTTTTGAAAAGTTTAAGGAAGATATTTATTAAAATGAAACTATAAGAGAGGCTTTTGTGGTTGTCAGAAATTTCAGGGGAGACTTTTTTGTATTTTACCCTTTTTCTTATTTATTCAAGGCAGTTAAGCAGTATTAGGTGCCACATAGACCTAAAAAAATAAAAAGCATCTATATAAGAATAGCTTTGACATAATCCAATGCATTTAAAGTGCTTAACATCCTAACCAAACAGAGTAAGTAGATGGTGAAATCACCATGCTTATTTGGCATTGGTGTAGCTCATTTATAAAAATAAACGGTAATAATAATATACATATATATATAAGAATTAAAATACATAATTTCCCATATTTATGGCATATATGTTTTCTTTAATGATTTGTGTATGTATTTATTAAGTTTAGAAATTGGGGAAGAAAATTACAATTTTACCCTGAAATAGGACATGAAGAATATATGGTTGTAGATTGTGGACGTCATTTAGGTTACTGCTAAAGTCTGCTGCTAGTTGTAATGGGGACGTGAGATTGAATCCTGCCTCCAATTAGGGTTAGGAGGACAGGCTGCTACATCATACATGCCTACATGTTGTGAATCCTTTCTCACTTTTCTATTCTATGGTATCCATTGGATTCTATTCGTCCATCGGGGAGTTGCCTGTATTGATTTCCGGACCAGATTCATTCTCACCCCCGGGGAGTGGGGACCATGGGTTCTATTCTAACACCACTGCATGAACAGTTCCTACACGCGTGACGCGCGTGCAGTGGCAAATCCGCAAATATTAGTATCGAACTACTAGTCGTCTAGTTGAGTATTGGTGGCGACTGTCCGATGTGAAAGCCACAAAAACATTCCCTCCACATCTCTCGGGAGTGGGGACAACTCCTGCTTTTACGAGTGGGCCCCACTTGAACAGCCCATAAGTTTTGTTTGGTTAAAACCCCGGAAAGCCTCGTTGCTAATGTGGGTGNGTGGGGTGGGGTGGGGTGGGGTGGGGTGGGGCCACTTAAGTTTCTTCAAGTGGTTTCTCCAACAGCTCAATCAAAACTTCAGCCCCCTTGGAACCTGTTTGGGATGTTTTTCACATGTGGGTTTTTTGGGCTTTCTTAGATGGACCCTACCTAGAGGCTAGAGACTATTAACAATGTTTGGTTAAGAAACTCGGAAATCTCAGAGTAGCTGTCTTTCAGCTATAAAAAATTGGTTTTTCCATAAAGCTTCTTTTAGTGCCCATTTGAGAAGGTTGAAGTGCAACAATGTTCTCGCTGTCCATATATAGGGCCCACACAGATAGGCTTGCCAACGGGTTAGGTCTGGGCCAGAGCCAACCCGATATGAAATATTGAGGACCCAAAATCAAACTGAACCTGATAGGTCTGTAATTGTCAAACCCAAAAATGAATCGATTGGTTTTCAGGATAATCGAGTCTGAACCGATGAACCCGATTATAATGAATAAATAAATATGTTTAATATATTAAATATTATATTTGTGTGTGTGTATATATATATATATATATATATATATATATATATATTATTGTGGCTCAGGTTAGGTCTGAATCGGTTCAGGACTGCGTGGAATTGGTTCTGAATCGATAATTATCAGGACCCAGAACCGACTTTTCGGTTACAATTCCTAGAACCAAAACTGGCTAAATTTGTTCGAGTTCATCAGGTCTAACCCGATCCATTGACAGCCCTACCTACAAGCTATGTTTGGTGAAAAATCTGGATAGCTAAGTTGGCTGGATCAACTAGTTGAAGTTTCTAGAGTGCATTGGCAACAAGGGTGAATTCGAGCTAAGCTGAATCGAATATCTGCCCAAGTTTAGTTTAGTAGAAAAACATGGCTTGAGTTCAACCTCGACCGTAATTTGAGCTAAAAATATAAGCTCGAATTCAGCTCAACTCAAAAGCTTATATATTCAATCTTAGCTCAAGCTCAAACTCAACTCAACTAAAAGCTTATATTCAATCTTCACTCAAAGCTTAATTTAGATCGAGCTAAATCAAATTTTTTACAAACCAAGCTCAAATAACTAGTGAAAATCCCAGATTGTATCCATCCCTACTTGGCAAGATTATTTAACTTCTTTGTTCACTTAAAACCCTTTGAATACCTCTTTCATTAACCAAGTTCTCAACAAACATATCTCATGTTATTTATGCAGCTAAATCAAAGTGCCTTCAAAGTAGTTGAAAACCAAAGCTTATCTTCAGCTTCAACCTTCTCAAAAAGGCCCTAAACTCCCATGGGCTTCAGAACAAGTGAATGACTCCAAATCACCAGTAAGGGGACTATTTTGAATTTGGTTCTTCAATGCCAGATTTACCCGCCACAATTATGGCATGAAGTGGAACGGGGTTCATTTAAGAACTAACACTTTTGTATATCTTTATTTATGTAGCAGGTATTTATCTCTACAAAATCCACCTCACAATTATTTTTTATTTTTATCATTATTTCCTTTTTTTTTTTCAAAACCCCCCACTTATCACCCACCTACCCTATCTTGAATTGTGTTAGATCCCCCCACTTGTCACTATCTGTAACAGTGACAATTTGGGAAGTAAGGCAATCAATAATTTGCCCTAAAAATAAACCCAACCCAATTTCAACAACAAGTATCTAATCAAAATTTGTTTGGCATAGATTCGACTATGTATGCATCTTCATTTAGGATTGAGCCCTCAATGCCTATTTCGAAAGGTTTTCATAAGCTTTTTCCAGTCATCTTTTATTGGTGGGCTTAAGAGTGTTACAAAGAACTTTTATATATTGGGTTTTGGGTAAGACAATTTCTTTTTTGTTGATAAACTTTGGGCCCATGATAAAGTTAATTTCCCTATAAATCATGCCCATCTTCCAGGTGAAAAAGTTTACAAAACATAATGGGATAAATTTGTTCATTCTAATATTGGCTTTTTATGGGTAAAAAAAAATCATTATTGGACTTACCTAAGAATCAAAAGAACAAGGTAAGTGACATTTTGAAACGCTAACAAGGCCTTAAAGTAAAGTTTGGGGCTAAAAAAAACCTCTTTTATTGGGCTTTATAGTACAATCTATACATACATACATACATAGATATATGAATATGTATGTAATTAGATAAAGGTTTTTTATATAAATAAAATGCATATATGCAATCCACCCATGCTTCAATTACCCAAGTGCAACTTGAGCTTATGCCAAGTCCAACTTTTTTAGCTTAGACTCAACCTGAAGTTTGAAAACTCAAACCCAACCCATACTCTACCATACAAAAGCTTGAATTGGGTGGGGTCAGGCTCGGATTAGGTCCACCCAAATTGTAATCCTAATTGTAAATATATTTTAGGGCTGAAGCTTTGATTGAACTGCTTTCACTCAACTGCTTTGAAGAAGCCCCTAAAAGAAGCTTCAACAACAAAAAATACTATCTCTAGCTGAAAGACAGTTATTTTT